GGCTAATGTTGGGCTATAAAGGAACTACAGCACGGTCACATGACTTCACGTCACCACCGCTAAGCTAAAGGTGGCTAATGTTGGGCTATAAAGGAACTACAGCACGGTCACATGACTTCACGTCACCACCGCTAAGCTAAAGGTGGCTAATGTTGGGCTATAAAGGAACTACAGCACGGTCACATGACTTCACGTCACCACCGCTAAGCTAAAGGAGGCTAATGTTGGGCTATAAAGGAACTACAGCACGGTCACATGACTTCACGTCGCCACCGCTAAGCTAAAGGAGGCTAATGTTGGGCTATAAAGGAACTACAGCACGGTCACATGACTTCACTAATGTTGGGCTATAAAGGAAGTACAGCACGGTCACATGACTTCAAGTCACCTGACTCATTTCAGGGTTTGAGGACTCATTCCTGCAGCACTCTTCTTCACATTAATCCTCACAACATACTAAAAGGAATGGAAACACATAAGACAGATTGCGCCTATCATTTTCAGAATTCGATCCAAAAACACGATCTAAAATTCCTTGGACATATATCCCATTACTTTAGGTCATGTGATGTGAAGTAAAACATGTGTGGCCCCCTGACATGAAGTAAAGTGGTCTCTGCAGCAATTAGTGCTCGGCGGTTCAATAAGCAGGCAGTGTGTTCAACATGAATCAATGGTGAGCAGCTTGACTCTAATTAGAAGATGAAGGGAACAGCCTCTCAAACACACATGCAAACAACCAAGTCAATGCACACATCCGTACAACAAAGTGCATTGAGTTTGCACACATCAAATACATTTTGTATGGAGAAAAGAAAAGTTCCCAACCACTGCTAGAAGGGGTTAAATCTGAGGGAGAGAGTTTGAGAAAGAGCTCCAAATCAGACGGCATGCACTAAAGACTAATCTGATTTCTACAGTAAAGAGTAAATGAATCAGGAAAAAGAAAGTCAGCAGTTTTGTTTGATTGGATTTTTTTCTTTTAGCCATGGACGGAGGATGTCAAACTTACTATAAGTCCGTTTGCGTGTTGCTGTTCGTTACTTTGGTCCTTAAAATTTTGAGAAGACAATGTTAGACTACTGGTGTAAGAAGGAGTCATTTCATAAACCACGGAGCCTCACAATACCCACCAACATGCAGTAATCCTTTCATCACATGGGGGAAACACTCGGGGTTAATTACAGGATTTATCTCGCTGGCAAATCTGTGATTAAAACTACAATTTCTTTAGGTTAAAAAAGCTTAAATTGCCACCTCACAACCACATGAAGAGGCAGTGGTTTCTCCACTTCCTCTTCACAGAGCGGAGAGGAACATGTGATGAAACGAATACCGGCTACACCCTCATCTACCACCGAAGCAGGGAACCACACACACACACAGATGTGAGGGAAACACACACTGCGGTGGTCTCACAAATGCTGATGGTGAAGAGGCAGCAGACCAAAGTACAGGAGGACGTTGAACATGTGTTTACCTTGGCGATTTGCAGCAGAACGATACAGTGCTTGATGGACTCTACCATGCTCTGGAAGGAAAGGGTGTTCAGAAAAGAGGTTAAATTACGAGGAACTGACACAGGAAGGATAATGTGTTAATGGCTGACTTACACAAGTAGTCTCCTTCAGATTTTCAATTTTCTGTAAAAAGAGAAGACACTAGGTGTTAAAATCTGTCAAAAAGAACAGGTACAAAGTCGAAAAGCATAAACCCTGATGCCACGGGTAGAGGTGGGAAGTATTGGAGAACAAATACTTCGTTACTGTACTTAAGTACATGTTTCTGGTATCAGTACTTTACTCCACTACTTATTTTTCTGACAACTTTCTACTTCTCTCATGTTGAACACAAATACCTGTACTTTCTACTTCTTACATGTTGAACTCAAATACCTGTACTTTCTACTTCTTACATGTTGAACACAAATACCTGTACTTTCTACTTCTTACATGTTGAACTCAAATACCTGTACTTTCTACTTCTTACATGTTGAACTCAAATACCTGTACTTTCTACTTCTTACATGTTGAACACAAATACCTGTACTTTCTACTTCTTACATGTTGAACACAAATACCTGTACTTTCTACTTCTCAATTTTCCAAACAGGCTGGTTCCTTTAGTTTGAATGTGTGTTTGGTGGCGTGATCATTATTATTTAGAGCAGGGGGGTCAAACTCAAATACACAGTGGGCCAAAATAAAAAAATGGGTACTAGTGGAGGGCCGGACTGGTTCAATGTTTATTGCAGAACTTATTGAAATGAACTTATTGCACATATTAAACCTGGAACTAACAAAGCTTAAATTATTTCCTATAAAAACAGCATTAAACATTAAATAATCAGCTGCATTCATTTCTTATGGCTCTATCTGCAGCTTTTTCCAGAGTCATTTCTTATGATTACATTTTCCCACAGGCCAACAACAGCTTCAAAAAAACAATTTCCCTCAAAGAGA